CGGTATGTGTGTGCATCTGTGCATTTAGTAGTGTCTGTGTGCAGCCCTGTGCATCTGTGTATGTGTGCATGTCTGTGTATTTGGGTGTGTGCGTGCAAGTCTGTGCATGTGTGTGTGCACATCTGTGCATATGTGTGTGGGTATGTCCATGTCTGTGCACTCAAGTGTGTGTGTACACATCTATATATTCGGGTTGTGTCTGTGCACGTCTGTGCATTTGGGTATGTGTGTGTCTGTGCATGTGTGTGTGCATGTGTGTGCATTTGGGGATGTGTGTGCACGTCTGTGTGTGTGTGTGTGTGCATGTCTGTGCATTTGGGTGGTTGTGGTCAGGCAGAGGCCTGGGACCCTGGGCAGTGGGCTCTACACCCACGCCAAGCAGGGAGACTGGCCACACGTAGTATGTACAGTACGTGTGTGAGGCAAGCGCCCTTCTCTCCAAGAGGGACAGGGTGGGACTGGATCTGAGTGCCCTGTGGCCATTCCTAGAAGGCACTGCCCTGGTGCTGGTGACTTCTGGGCTGACGTGGACTTGGGTCCTGCATGCTCAGGTGGTTGGAGGGCGGGGAGGTACTCATTACCAGCATGAACACGGCACTGGAAGCATCCTGCCCTGCCCCCACCTCTGGAATTACCCCCCAGCCCACCGCCACCCCCGGGTACAGCCCCTCACTGGAATGGCTCCCCCGCTACCCAGGCGTGGGGGCAGGTGGGGGCGGGTGGGGGGCGGGTGGGAGCCCAGCAGTCCTGTGCCCAGCATGGTAAACGGGGGCAGCCTGGCCGTCACCCTGTGCTCGGTGTCCCCGCCCTCCGGAGCTGCAGGCTCGTCCGCATGTGGTTTGGGCTGTGGGGACACCGCCCTCAGGTCCCCGAGGGCCCGGCCGGCCGCAGTGGGTCGGCGCTCCGGGCTGAGGACCAGGGCACAGAGCCCTGACATGGCCTCCTCTGCATCAGGCCTCGGGAGGCACGGATGCGCAGAGGCCGCTGGTCCTGGCGGGAAGGAGGTGAGAGGCAGGGTGGGCTGCGGGGCTGCAGGGGCGCCTTCCCCGTCGCGGTAAGGGAGGGTGGAGGCCCCCGGGACCGCTGTGCCCGGACACTGGCCCCCCAAGCCCCCTCTCCTGGCTGTCGCCTCCGGCTGGCTCCACGGACTGAGTGGCCCCAGATCTGCAGTTCAGACAAGTCCAGGGATGCTGAGGCCACGGGCTGTGGGACCGGGGCCCCCACTCTGAGACGGTTGAGTCCCCGGTGGGGAGGAGCCTCCACAGGCACCGTGGCCACCCCTGGGTTGGGGTCGTGAGGGGACCTCGTCGTATCTCGGCCGTGGTGTCAGGTTTATGGTGGGGGTTTAACGTCTCCAAGCCCTCTTCCTGTGGCATCTGTGGTCTCTCCGGCCGTACCAGCCATGTCCGCCTGTGGGGGGCCCTGGGGGAGCTGCGGCTGCCGTCAGGAGACTCGGCGGCAGCTTCGGGGCCAGCAGGCCTGGGCTCGGGTCCTGCGCTGCCCTGAGTCATGTCCGCCTCGGCCTCCCCGGCTACGAAGGTCGGTGCAGGAATGCATCGTGCTGGCCGGGCTCGCAGGGAAACAGCTGGTAGGATGTCCGTGTCTCTATCCCCCTTTCGTAGAGAGGGGTCCTCGTAAGGAGTAGGAGGCCGAGAAGTGCACAGATGTGCGGACCCAGCAGAGCCACCTGTGTGGCTGCAGCCTGGGGCCGAAGGTCCGAGAACCGGGACCGGTGACGGTACAGTTCCTGCCCAGGTTTCAGCCCGGGTCTGAGGCCGGGAGAAGGCCGATGTCCCAGCTCGCAGGTGGGCGAGAGATTTCCCTCTTACTCAGCCTTGTTCTATTCAGGCCTTCGGCTGATTGAATGAGGCCCACCTGCATGGGGCCAGCAGTCTCCTTTCCTCAGCCTATCGCTTCAGATGCTAATCTCACCTGGGAGCACCCACACAGACCCACCCAGGATAATGTTGGCAGACGTCTGGGTCCGCGAGGCCCATCAAGGTCATGTGGTTTGGGCTTGGGGGCAGAGAGCAAGGATTGGGCCGTGGAGTGTTACCCCAGCCAAGTGTCTGTGGGCAGGGCTCTCCCCACCCTGTGCGGGGCCGGGTTTCCTGGTCTCGTGTGCATTTCTGGAACCCCCAGGGAGGTGCGGGCCTGGGCTTTCCCTTGGCGCCCACCGTCTGCACTTGGCTTCAATCTCGGGGGGCTCCTGGACCCCAGGAAGACACTGTCTCCTTTGCCAAGAGCTTTCTGTTCCCCAGCAGTCGAGACCCCAGTGGGAATTCCCGGCAAACACAGATGGCAGGAGCCCGGTCCTCACACTCTGTTTTGACATTAATCAGATGCTTTTTCCTGATCCATATGTACGGCCCCGTTTGCATGTGTTACCCGTGGAGGCCTGGCTTCTGCCGCCCTCACCCAGGCTGACGCTTTGGCCCGCTGGGCTGGGTGCCCACTGGAAGTGCCCTGCAGCCGGCCGGGCAGTGGTCCAGCCGGACACCCTCTTGTCCTCACCTTCTCTGTTCATTTGGTTCTTAGGAAGTGAATGCTGTTTGTGACTTTGGCCATCAACTTACTCCGGCATTTTATCACTGTCTTCAGTGCCGCCCAGTGTGAAAATGATATCACCTCTCCCTTCAGAAGGAAAGGCCGGCTGTGCTGCTCGGCGCCCACCTTGTCAGGACACCGCAGGGTGGCTGTGTGTCCCGCAGCCTCTGCCCCCTGGGCTCTGCGCTGGTTGGGGCCTCACCAGCCCCATCGTGTGCCATGAGCTCCTCCGTGTCCCACGCCTCTCCTCTCTCACGGGGCTAACCCACGTTACCATCCGTGTACTGGGCTCTTCTTCGATCTGGGAGCCACACACGGCAGGAGGGTCCCCGACTTGCTCACTGGGCGAGCCTCAGTGCGGCCCCAGTATATCCTCAGGCAGAGCCTGGCCCCAGGATGCACACAAATAAATCTTTGCCACATGAACGACCAAGTAAGTGAGCAGATGTGCTCAGGGAGGCCAGACACCATGTCTGATCTGTCTTACAAGTCACTGGGGATCTCGGGGCCCAGCACACAGCGGTGCTGTGGCTAAGATTCATGTCAGCAACATAATTAGGAACCACGGCTGGATCTGGAGGGATCCATAAGCAGATTTCCTGGGCTCTCTGCCTCCTGCGGGGGCCGCACAGAGCCCCTTCCCCAGTGGTGAAAACGTAGACATCCGTGTGCACTGTCGGTCTCCCCAGAGGAGTCCCTTTGAGACTCAGAGTTCAGGCATTCTGTTGGGGCTGCTCATGTGGGGAGCCCACCCCTGCACCCCTGCACTCTGAAGTGTCAGGCCCTCGGAAGGAAATAGGCATCTGCCATAAATCCCATCGTTTGTGCAAATGGTCAAGGCCAGTCCACCAGCACAACCTTATCACTCAGAGAGCCTCTCAAAAGCGAGGCTTCCAGATGCTGGTCAAGGGTTGACCTTGCAAGTGGGCCCCCCTACCCACAGCAGCCTCAGCTCCTGGCACAGAGGCCTGGGGGCTCTGCACCAGCACCGGGCCAGGGGTGGGGGGCCGTGGGGCCATGAGACCAGGTCACACCCACCAGGTGATCTCACACTCACCTGTCTTGTGTCTTCTATGGCTTCAACCTGGATGAGCTCATGAGCTGGCTGTGAGGACAATCAGGAAGTCGGGCCTGTGGTCAGAACAGGGAGGGATCGGGAACACCTTGTCCCCAGAGGAGATGGGACCGGGGGGCAGAAGGTGCTCGGGCAGCCTGGAATCCTGAAGCAGGGCCATGCCTCTGTGTGTGTGCATGCTTGTGCATGTGTGTGCCCACGCGTGTGTGTGCGCACCTGGGTGTGGGAGCAGTGTTGTAGCCACGGACGAGGGCAGAAAGTCACCCCCTTCTGGACACAGTGGCCGTGAACAGAGTATGTCAGCAGAGTCGGGCAAGATGGGCTCCGAGAAGGGTGTCAAGCAACCACAGACAAGCAGATGCCACTATCCTGTTCCTCCAGCTTGGGGGATATTTTTTAGGACTCTGCTTGTCATTTTCAGTAAGATTTCTTCTGTGTTTCCATGTGTTGAGGTTCATGCCGCGGGCAGTTACCATCGTAGCTCAGAGATGCAGTGCTGTGGCGGGCAGGCGGTTGGGGCCCCTGGCTCTGGTCAGCCTCGGGGTGTGACTTGGGGGAGCTCCTCATACCTCAGAGCTTCACTTTTCTGTCTGCAAGATGACAGGGCTGGGCCGGTTGGTCGTTTCATCTCTAACATCCTAGAAATGGATGATTCGAGAAGAACCTTAGAAATGAATCCCATTAATGTCACAAAGAACAATGTGTCATTTCCACTGTCCAGACGTTCCCGCGGTGATGTGTGCCGTGTGGGCAGGAAGTGTGTGTGGTTTCCTTTGCCTTATGCGCTGGGGGGAGGGGTCTTCCTACTGAAATGTGAAAAACTCCAAACCCACAGAACCCTCTGTAGCCTCTCCTAGTCTGGGAGCGTGTGGGCCCAGGGGCCCCCCCATGCCCACACCCCTCACTGCCTCTCGCCCCACTGATGCCGGCCCTGGCCCTGCCCCTGCCCCGCGGCTGATGGGGGGCCCACTCTCCTTGTACAGAGGAGACTTGTTCCAAACATTAACGTGTAAAAGGTAATAAGGAGGAACAGTACCTAACAGAGGCCCGCTTTCTAAGTAATGAGAAGAAAGGGAAATTGGGTGGCCACATGCGTGGCTGCCCGGGGCATTTCAAGGCAGGTCTGAGGCCACTGCTGCACACGGCTCTGTGGGCGCAGACGCACCTCTGCGGCTCTCCTGGGAGGACACGTCCCGCCAGTGGCGGAAGACGTGGCGCCATGGCCGGGGCTAGAACCGCTGCGGTCCGACTGTCCGCGCGGAGCCCGTGTGCCCTTGCCCGGGGCGCCTCTCCACACCTTCCCCACCGCCGGTGTCACCTCACGAGTGCCTTGGATGGCTCACGCTAGAACAAAGCTTTTGTTTTCCCTCTTTTCCAGGGAGGAGACAGCACGTTGATGAAGCGCGTTTGAAGCCTGGCTTCCGTTCCCGCCGTGTGCTCTGGCCCGCAGCCCAGGAACGTCCCCCAGCGCAGATACAGCCCGACTTACGGACTTACAGTGGCTCTTCCGTGGACCCCACACCCTCGTTGGCCGAAGGTTGTCACTCTCAGTGCTGAATTTGCAAGGTGTGTGTGTGTGAGCGTGCATGTGCGTGAGTCTGTGTGTGCACATGTGCATGCTCAACCAGGAGACACGATTTGGGCTCTTTTGAGGCACCTGGAAGTTGATGTGCTGGGGAGTGACGCCTGGAGCCAGGTGAGAATGTATCAAACACCGCATAAAAGAAAAGCAAATTGTGTTTCCGAGGAGCTGAAGGGAGGGGCGGCTGTGTTGTGTGCAAGGGTCAGGTTCATTTCAAATTTGTGTCAGAAGACACGTCCCAGTCCGGTGCAGATGACTGGCCCCAGCCCGGGCTTGATTCCCTGGGTTAAATCGGGAGGAAGCTTACAGGATCAGACAGATTCGCTTTTCTCTAGCGGGTGGAGGATCCATGCTGGGCGCCACTGCTCTATTAATCAGACTTGTCCGGGAAGGACCCATCGTTTCTGTTGTCGTGAAACCCACAGTTACTTATCACTTGGACAAGATACAGGGTGAGTTTGCTGCTTCTCTGGGGTTTGTAGATCAAGTCTCGAGTCTTGTTTTATCCTCCATGAGTGGTTTGGCCTCACTTTTAATGGCCGCATCCCCTCGACACATTTGTTGTACTCAGAACCGAACGGCAAACGATAGTCTTGAGCTAATAAAAGCCAGTGTGGAGTTATGGGGGAACTCCCAGATTGGGGCTGGGTGAGGGTGTGATGCAGGCGTGCGGAAACTCTGTAGCCCCAAGCCCTGGGGGCTGCCGCCTCCGGTGCACCCTCGGGTGTGTCCTGCCCAGGAATAGCAGCCGTGCGGGCTGGCCATTCAGGGTCTAGCCACGTGGGCTTGCAACCCAACTTCACCCTGTGGCCTGTGTGTATTTGGAGCGTCATGGTTTTGCATGTCGTACATAGCGCACACGCCAGACATTCTGAACCACAGCTTTGTGATTTGAAAAAGGGCAGACTATGCAGGCCAGAGAAGCACGTAGACGTGTACCGATGCTTATGGAGTTGTTTATATGTGAAAGTACGTGGTGAAAATGCCTCCCTGAATGTTTTAAATAATATTCCATGAACTGCGCTTGTATCCTCGCCGTGTTCCTGCAAGTGCCCATTTAGTCACAGTGTCAGTTCTTCTCTTTAGACATCGTTGTTTTTATTCATGTATCCTGGCCGCCTCCTTTTCATCTGATTATGAAATCCAGCATTTCAGGACTGGGGTTTTGCCAACCAAAAAAAACAAAAAAAAGAAAGAAAAGAAAAAAAAAAGGAAAGAAAAAAGTGACCACGAGCATTTGTCTCTGATTCCCGCTAGTCCAGTGAGCATCTGAAGAATTCAAGCATTCTAAAATAATGTGCTTTTTCTAAATCCTAGAGGAGACCTTTTATGCTTAACCGATGGGCTGGATTGAATTTGCTGAAAGTGTCTGTGCCCTGTTGTTACAAACCTCCTGGAACAGAAGTCTGTGGGTGACACGACTCTCTCATGGAACGAGAGGAGGGGCCAGAAGTTGCCAGAATTGTGGACGTGGACATGCCGACAGCATAGCGGTTCTCAACACAACCACACTGTGTCCACAACACGCAGAACCACACGGATGTTTTGGTTTGTCTAAACTAGAAATCCACGTGAATCGCAGCTCCCTGGCTGCGCGGATGTGCGCGCGCGCCTCATTTCCACGGTCCGGAGTCCCGCTGCTGAAGGACTGTGCTCTTCCTCAAAGCGCTCTGCCCTGCGGAGCCTGTAGCCTTCAGGACACCCCGCGTGCCTTACACGACTGTGAATACCACACTGGATGTCAGGAAGGAGGGTGTGCCGGCAGTGGGTTTGGAGGCATTGTGACGTCAGTCTACAGTTATCATCACCCCATCACTGAAACCTTAAGGTGGATTGTGTGTTTTAACACAGTAATGGATTTATATTTAGGCTCAGGAAAATCAAGTTGTAAATATATGTATCAAATCATATATTTGTTTACTGTATTTTAAAAAGCTTTATTGTACATTTATGCAAAAACAAATTAGGCCGTGTTTTATCACGGCAATATGCCAGCCGGTGTTTGTGCTCTGGAGCAGCTCCTTAAGAAACACATTCTAAACACGATATTCTGTTCAGTGCTAAACAGTATTCACAGGCCTAACTAGGTTCGTATGGTGGTCAAGTACAAAATTTTACACATATTTTTGTATTGTGATTCCTATGATATATACCAGAGAATTTTTACTCATTTGTAAATTATTGTACAGTTTTAATAAAAAATGTTTTAAATCTTAGAATATCAAAGTCACCCTCTTCCCACGGCATTAAAGTTTGGGCATACTGGCGAAGCTAGCCTCTTCTGTGTCCCGCGTCCACTCCCTGAAGGGAGTGCCGCGTTCCATGCCGGGAAGGGAGCCTGGTCCTCCCGCACACGGGGGAGTGAGCCCGGCGCCTTGCCGCAGCCTCACCCTACCTCGTGGAGAATCACCTGGAAGACAGGCTCTGAAGTCAGAGGTACTGGGCAGCACCTGGCTGAGGTGGGCAGCCAGGGAGGCTTCCTCTTGCAGCTGCCTATCAAGTGAGAACCAGCAGAGAAGATGAAAAAGTTTAGGAAAGTAAGAGAACTTCTGCGAGTGGACGAGAACCCTTGGCAACCGACTGCACTTGCAGGTGGCTTCGCACAGGTAAGTAGAGGCTGTTTTACTGATGCCCCTGGCGGGGGGGTGTGGGAGCCAGAGACCGGGCAGGGCTGGGGCAGTTGCTGATCTGGCCCCACAGAAATGGTTCTGCCACACGAGCACGAGCGCCCTCCAGGTGACTCATGTTCAGACGGACATTTTGAAATGCCGGCCGCGTTAACAGAACACAACGGCTGGAGTATCTTTTCCTGAAAAGTCACTCTCAGCAGGGCTTGACGGAGTGACAGCATCGTCCCCTGAGCCTGGGCGGCCGAATCCCTCAGCCTTGTCTCACCCCAAAGCCTTGAGCTGGGACTTAAGGGCGGTCAGGAGCAGCTCTCCCGGGGCGCATCCCCCCTCGCCCCTCCCCTCCTCCTCTCCCCTTCTCCCTGGTCGACCCTCCCCACTTGCCAGACGTTTCAGAGTCGGAGCCTCCTGGCGGCCCCGGAAATGCGGCTGGAGTGAGTTCCGACGGGCACTGATTTCTTCAGCGCGTGCCCGGCTGGCGGGGCACCGTGGCTTCGCGCAGACGGAACGCGCGCCCTCGGGCCGGCTCGGCGCGTGCAGCTCTCTCCGCGCGCGGGCGGCGGGTTTGGGGGCGGGTTTGGGGGCGGGGAGGCCCGGGGCGGCCGGTCACACGCCGCCCGCCGCAGGGGGCTCTGGGACCCTCGGCGCTCGCCTGCCCCCCCCCCCCCATGGCCGCACCCCGGCCTCAGGGGCCCACGGAGCCCCTGCCCGCGTGCCTGGGGACCCGGGGCGCAGGCAGCCCGCGGGCCCCGCCCCGACGCGGCGGCGTTTTCCGCGGCGTGGATGCCCTTTGAGAACAAGACGCTGCAGCTGGACTCGTCGGGCGGTGGCCGTCGGAGCCCTCGGGCTGGTGAGCCTCGCGGGGGGCCACGTGGCGACCGAGGGACCCGGCGAGCCAGGCCGAGGTGACCTGGAGGCAGCGGCAAGTCCGGGAGAGCCATCTGGCTTGAAACGGGGCCGCGGCCCAAAGCAGGTGGTAGCCGCAGGGCAGGCGGGGGGCGGGGGGGCGTGGACCAGCCTCTTCCCAAACCCCCAGCCTCTCCGAGGGGCCGTGAGGGCTCAGGGAGGGGCCACCTTCTCCCTGACTGGCCGAGTCTGCTCCCCGAAATTCGCTGTCCTGAACCCGCGCGCTTTGGGCCTCTCCTGCGTTGGTTCTGGTTCTCTGGTCCGTCAGGGGCTCTGGGTAGCTGTCTCTCTCTCTCTCTCTCTCTGTGTGTGTCTGTCTCACATCCCTGTGTCTCCTTAACTTGTGCCCTGTCCCCTTCCTCCTGTCCCCAAGCTTCACGTGGCCGGCCGTGGAGCAGCCTGCGGGAGCGTGTCCAGCGCCAGGCCCCAGAGCCAGAGCGCCGCCCTGCGCCCCGATCCCGGCCTGGGCCGTAGGATGAGGAGGAGCCAGGCATTGGCCGAGGCGCCTTCCCGGAGGGAGTCCGGCTCCCGCAGCACCTGGGCTTGAGGTTGACATTAGGTTCAATCCCAGTGGCCTTGGGTGCTTCGGGTCACTAGGGAGCAGGTGGCGGTCCCTTGCTGGGCAGGGGCGAGGGCGGGGCCTGGCCCGACTCTGCCGGGCCTCTCCACCCTCTTTCCCGGGGTGCAAACCCCGCCCCCGCAGCGGCCCTCTCCCCCTCCCCCGCAGCCTGCGTCCGCGGCCCGCCGCGGGCCTGGGGCGCAGGGGTCCCGCCTGGGGCCTCTCCTGGGGCGGGGCCTGGCTGGCCGCCGGGTACCGAGCACGGCTGGGGCGGGGCTTGAATGCAAAGGAGCAGCCGCGGGCCGGGGGCGGGGCTCGGCGCGGGAGCCGCGCGGCCGGCGTGCTCGCACTCGGAAGCCCGGCGCCCCCACGCACAGGCCCGGGCTCTGCGCGCCCCCGCCCGGGACCCCCAGGCCCGCTCCCTTTGAGCTAGGCCGCGCCGGCCGAGCGTGGGGGCCGCGCGGGCCGGACGAGCAGGATGTCCTTCCAGGGCAAGAAGAACATCCCTCGGATCACGGTGAGCTGCGCGCCCGGCTCTCCTTCACCCCACGCCCCCTGCCCACCGCCCCGGCGCCGCGCCCAGCTCTCCGCCCTCCGGGTCTAGCCCGCGCCGGTCGGTGCCCGCGTCCCGGCGCCGGGGCTCCCGCGAGCGCCGCGCTGGACCCCTTTCCCGAGCCGACGCCCCGGTCCCGGCTTCCCGGGACCTCCTCTGCGCCCGGGGTCAGGAGAAGCCTGCTCCGCAAAGCGTGCAGGTGCCGCCCTCCGCGCGATGGGCAGGCGCGAGGCGGGGGAGGCCGGTCTCCGCGTCCGCCCGGGACGCGGCCTTTTGTTGGCACCGCCGGCCAGGCCTCCGTCCTGTGCCCCGCGCGGGGCGGCTGGCCCGGCCCCGGACCGACCGCGCCTCCGCCGCGCAGGGAGCTCTTTGTCCGAGACAAAGCGCCTCGGCCCCGCAGCTCAGCCTGGAGCCCCCGGAGGCCCGAACCCCTCCACTGAGCCGGGGCTCGGAGGCCCCAGGGGAGGCGCGCGCTCGCTGGTCGCCGCTGAGCTGACACCCTGGCAGCCCTAGCCCTTGGGAGGGGGGGGGGCCCTCAACAACCACAGGCAGGGGTGCGGGAGGTCAGACGGTCCACCCCGCGCTACCAGGAAACAAAGCCGCCCCTTCCCGGCCGCGGCCCGGAGCCGGCCGAGGGAGGGGGAGGGAGGCTGCCCGCGCCAGCTGGATGGTGGCCGGGGGCAACCCTGGGACTGAGACCCGACTCTGGGGTTGACCTCAGCGGGAGGGCGGTGGGCTCGCCGGTTCACGTCCTGAGAGATACTGGGGGGCGGGGGGGGGGAGTCCCTGTCCTTCCGGGACTGGAGGGGGTCTCGCCTCATGACTGGCTCAGGGTCCAGCCTGATGCGGGAGGTCTGCCAGTGGCTGGCACGGGGTTGGGGTTTGAGGGGGTCAGACGCAAGGTGGCCTGTTTAGGGGAACTTCCACCCTCATCCTGATGAGAACTTCATCCCAGCTGCATTTCCCTCTTTGTTCCAAACCCAGGAAGGTTCCCAAAGTCTGCGTTCAGGTGCCTGGAAAGGGGAGGGATGTAAGAGAGATGGGGACACACAGACCACAGGTGTCTTCCTACCTGGGGGGGGGGACACACAGACCACAGGTGTCTTCCTACCTGGGGGGGGGGACACACAGACCACAGGTGTCTTCCTACCTGGGGGGGGGCACACAGACCACAGGTGTCTTCTGCCCAAAGCCTTCCTCTTCCTGGCCAGGGTTTGCTTGGTCTTACTGGAGAATGGTGGGTTCAGTGGCGGCCGCACTTGGCCCGGGGCCTGGCCCGCCAGCTGTTTAGCCGATGGTGGGGTGGTGGTTTTCCTGACCAACAAAGTCCTGAGAAGTCAGTCCAAACGGATACGAGGATGCGTGGAGGGCAGGGCAGTAAGGAAGGCTCCCCTGCGGTGCGTTCTGTGCGCTCAGAGGGTCTCAGGTTCCTGCCATTCGCACCGCACGGCCTGTCGGATCGGCTAATGGTGTGTGGACAGCCACAAACCGTGGGGGCGAGGGGCCAGACCTCCCTGCGAGGCACACTTGTTCCTGCCGGGTCAGGTCAGAGGGAGTGTTGAGGCTCGAACACGGTAACACGGGGAAAAGGGCCGCCCCGCTGGGTTCCCGTCGAGCGTTCTGCATCTCGGCTCATTTCCCGTGTTTCTCCCCGTTGTTCTCCGGGGCCGTGCAAAGCTCCGTGCGTGACACCCCACTGCTGCCCCACTTTGCATCTTCCCCACCATTTGGCGGGGCTCTTAGGAGTGGGTCTGTGGCCGCCGAGCCCCGCAACACCCGGTGCCGCAGCTGACCCACGACGGCTGGCCTCACCTGCGGGCGCTCCGTTCGCCCCGGGGCCTCTCCATCAGCAGCCCCTGCCTGCCCGCCTCCCAGCCGCGCCGGGCCCCGTCTCCCCTTGGCCCCCCGTCTCCCTGGACAGCGTCGGAAAGCAGCAGGCGGCGGCCCTGTTTCCATCACCGGACACCACGTTCTGCTTGTGACACAGAGCCAGCACGATCCATCAGACCGTGCTCAGTCGTTGCTCCAGGCCCCTCGGTGGGGCCCACTGACTCCCCAAGCCCAGCATGGCCCACTTGCACTGGGCTGTCAGCCCCTCACCCCTCCCCTTGGAAGATTCTGGCCCGGCCCGTTTCCTCTCATGTATCCACTCAAGCTCGTTCCTGCCTCAGGGCCTTTGCATGGGCTGCTCCCTGCCCTGGATCACCACCCCTGCCAGCTTTACCTCCAGCACCAGCCCCTCCCCTAGACCCTTCTCGGATCCTGACGCAGCCCTGCCTCCTCGCCCTTTACCCTATGATGTCACCCTCTTTGTGCTCTCGGTTTGTCATAGTCTGTGATGACCTATTGTATGATTTCTCATTCTTGTCTGTCCCTCTGCAGTCGGATGCAGCCCCCGTCCCCCCGCCCAGAGGTAGGGACCCCCCACATTTGGCACCATCATGGGCCACATGATCCTGGTGTGAACGGAGCCTTTCAGCGCTGCCTGGGTGGGGGTGGGGGTGGGGGGGCTCACCTTCCAGGCCAGCGTGAGGCTCCTCCCCCAGCCTGCGCTGCCTGCATCAGGTGATGTGTTCAAATGTGGCCACGTCTCTGCTGTCCTTCTACTCACGGTGGCCCCTGTTGTCCTCGCGCCTTCGGCGGGCCCAGACCGCCTGCCCTGCAGGTGTGGGGACTGCCCGGGCCTGTGGGAGCCGCCCGCGAGCCGCCGCCCCCCCCCCCCCTGCCTTATTCGTGGGGTGGAAGACCGAGCTGGCTTCCTCGTCCGTCTCTACGTGCACACATTGCATCCGAGTGCTTTGATCCTAATTCCAGAGTAAGAACTTTCGGGCAAGATGTTGAGGAGCTCAGCCTGGAGAAAACCCATCTGCCTTTTGTTTTTTCCAACAGAGCGACCGCCTTTTGATCAAAGGTGGGAAGATCGTGAATGACGACCAGTCCTTTTACGCTGACTTGTACGTGGAAGATGGTTTGATAAAGTAAGTTTCAAATATCTTCAGTCACACGTGTACACATTGATTGCACATTATCCACAAGCTTACTTTTGGGTGAAATCCACCTAAATGTTTTTTTTTTTTTCTTTTCCAAAACCCTGTTCCCTGAAAACAGCTCCAGCCCAGGCCTTTAGCAACAACAGAGTCTTTCCTGTTAGTGGCAAGGTCTTGGGCAGCAGGACGGTGGCTCACACGTTCGTGTGGCTATCACAGCTGTAGGATGACTCAGGGCTCACAGTCGGTGCTTAATAAATACTCACTGACCACACGTGTTAGCACCTCTGCTCCTGTCTGTCGGCGCCTCCAGCCACTAGTCCGAGAGCCACACGTGGCACCTGGGTGAACACCACAGGGCAGTGCCCGGGGTGGACCTTCTGTGTCGAGTGTCTCGAGCCCCTGGCTGGCGTGTTGTGCTCCTGTGTCACCCTCTTCCTCCAGGAGCCCAAACACCGGCTCCCCGGCCGCTCCGTTCACGTTCTGGTCTGGCCTCTTATAACCAGTGAAATTTCTGTTGCTCTCAGACAAATTGGAGAAAACCTCATCGTCCCCGGAGGCATCAAAACCATTGATGCCCATGGCCTGATGGTGCTGCCAGGCGGCGTGGATGTGCACACGAGGCTGCAGATGCCCGTCCTGGGCATGACTCCGGCTGACGACTTCTGCCAGGGGACCAAGGCCGCTCTCGCGGGAGGGACCACCATGATATGTGAGTGGCTCCCCTCGTGCCGAGCATCCGGCCCAGGCCTCGCTCCGCTGGCCAGGTTTCCGTGTTGCGGGAAGAGCCTCCCAACAGAGTGCTGTTTTGGTCTATTTCCCTTTATTACCTTTCAATCTAGGAAATCCTTGCATATGCTTTTGTCACCCCGTTCGCGACGTGAGTCGTCTCACCTTGGCCAGCTCCGGCTTGCTCCTGGGAGTTCCGTGGGAGCAAAGGGTGTGTGCCCAGGAATCTCTCCTTTCCTGGGAAGCTGGCAGCCGGCCAAGGACTGGGTTTTCAAAACCGAAATGCCTTGCACAAGGGAAGGAAGCAGGCACGCTTGCTCCTGGGCCTCCCACCTCTGAAGCTTGGTTTGCACAAAGGTCCTGCCCAGGTCAAGAAGGAGGCTGTGTTTTCAGAAAGAGCATGACAGGAATACTTACTATTATCTGATCAACAGCCACCAGAGTGGCCCTTTCCGTAGTGCTGGCTGGGTGCCATCTGCAGCTCATAAACCCTGGAGCTCAGCACACAAGCCCCACCCAGTGGCTCGCCAGCTGGATCCGCCTGCCTGAGGTGAGCCTGACTGTGGTAAGCTCAGAGCCAGGACGAGACCCCAGCCCCTGGTCTCATGGCCTTGAACGCCACCAGCTTGGCGGTGCCGAGCGCAGGCATTCCTGCTGTGATTAAGACCTGGTCTAACACACCTGGCTGAACCCTGGCTCCACCGCATTCTCGCTGTTTGGCTTGAAGTAACTCAACCAGCTTCTAGAAGCCGTGCTTTGCTAACCTGTGAGGCGGGAGGGAGGGCCAGACCCTCCTGAGAAGGTTGTGGGGACGAAGGGAGTCAGTGCACGAGTTGCTCTGTTGTGCCTGGCACGTGGAGCATGCTGTCACTGCTGCCACCAGGAAGGCTGCCCTGAGGACTCAGGGCTACTTCACAAGTGGCGTTTAGCTATGTTTAGCTATTGCCGAAATCATGGCTTCGTTTGGTTTACTCAACCATGAAGCAAAAACTAAGCCAACAATGGTCTGTTTTTTAGTTTGAGGACACTGGCCATGTTAGGTGACCACTCATGCTCATCACTGGTGGCCCCAGCCAGCCAGGACACTTCGTGGTTGTCACCCACTCACGGCAATGCGCAGGCATCAGACAGGCTGTGAGGTGTCACTGTGAGGACAGATACACGCTGCGTCTCAAGCTGGCCTCCCCAGGCTGGTGCCGTGCGGGGACCACAGGGCAGGGTAGCACCCTCTCCCCCCAGGGCCCTGGGCATGAGATCTGACCTGTGGGAAGTAGGGGGTCCCCACACAGGGGGTCCCACACTGTGCTGGAGGGAGGCACGGCTTTTGCCAGTAACCTTTGGGTGGGTGTGCCATCTTGTTGGCCACCCCTACTCTGAGCTCTTTCCCTACACCCAGAGGAGGCCATGAGCAGTGTTGGGACCTTGGACGTGAGGCTGGGTGGGGGGAAGTGAGTGTGCAGTGGCCAGGTGGTCTCCTGGTTTCCCCAGGGGTGGGGTGGTGCTGTTGAAGGTGTGTGCAGTCGGTGAGGCCGGCCAGGGCCAGCACCACGGACAGCGCCAGCACCACGGACAGCGCCAGCACCTGGGCTGCGGCCCTGCCCTGGCCCTCCAGGGGCGCCTCCGGTGGACACCTGGAGGTTAAGGTCCTTAACTGCCACCGGTGCTCCTTGGGGTGAACATGTCCGTCAGGGAGTGGGGTGGCTTGAGTCTGGCCTTTCTCTCTGCCCAGACAAAGGCCAAGTGATATGAGGCAGAAGGTGCCTCTTTGGGCAGAAGCGATGAGCAGGTTCGCAGCAGCACTAGCCCCACAGAAGTGGCCTGTGGCCTCTCCACAGCTTGTCAAACGCATTTCCTGATCTGGGAGCATGAAGCCAGTTTCCCTTGGAGGCCAAGGTGGTTCCCAGTGACCAGAGTGGGGGCTCGACTGACTGCACTGTCCCCTCCCCCCCCACAGTGGACCACGTGTTCCCCGACACGGGCGTGAGCCTGCTGGCGGCATATGAGCAGTGGCGGGAGCGGGCAGACAGCGGGGCCTGCTGTGACTACTCCCTGCACGTGGACGTCCCCCGCTGGCATGAGAGCATCAGGGAGGAGCTGGAGGCCCTGGTCAAGGACAAGGGTAAGGGCATGTCCAGAGGCCGGCTGGAGGGCGGGTAGGCACGGGGCCTGCGCTTCCCTGGTCTTGGCTCGAAAGGGCCCCCACCCCCAGCCCCTGGCCAGGCTGGAGGCTGCATCCGTCTGACCCCAGGGTGGGGGTGGGAGTTGGGGGGAAGATGGACAGATTGGAAGGTTGATTCTACTCCCAGAGGATCCAGAGCAGGAGGTCACCTGCCTCTGTGTCTGAGGGCGGGTCCCGTCGCTGCCCTCGGCTGCAGCCCGGGCCCCCTGTCCCCTGCCCTGGGCGAAGTAGAGAGCTACAAGTTTCCCTAGCGCCCTTTCGAGAAGGGAGTGAAGGGAGCGCTTTCCAACCCGCAGCACCCCCCCCCCCCCCACGCGGGAACGAGCCAGCCTGTAAACAAGGCTTCACTTCTTTTCATCAAAAGTCCTGAAGCAAAAACCACATCAGTGTTTCTTGGGGATTTAACACGAGTTAGTTAGCAGTGGGCCCGTGGGAGAGGAGGTCAGGGAGCCGCGGAGGCCCCCAGTTGTCTGACCCCCTCCTGCTTGCCTGCCAGGCGTGAACTCCTTCCTGGTCTTCATGGCGTACAAGGACAGGTGCCAGTGCACCGATGGCCAGGTGAGGGCAGGTGTGGGGGGTAGGGGTGGCGGCGGGCGCCTCGGGCACAGGCAGGGTGCACGCAGCCCCACATGCCGTGCGCTCTCTTCCCAGATGTACGAGATCTTCAGCATCATCCGGGACCTGGGAGCCCTGGCCCAGGTGCACGCAGAGAATGGGGACATCGTGGAAGAGGTGCCAGGAGGGCTGCCTGCAGGCTGGGGGGTGGGGGTGGGGAGGGGCCGGGGGCTTCGGACACTCACATGGGGCACTCTGCCGCACAAGCCCCCAGGGAGGGAATAGTGGACAATTCTGGGGAGCAGGCTACCCAGGGCAGAGGTCAAGCAAGCAGGGGGATGGGGGGGCCTGGGGGCTTTTGCCCATAATACAGATTCCTCTGTGATCATCACACTTACTGTTTTAAATTTTTTTGTTTATTCATTTTTGAGAGAGAGGACACACACACACACACACACACACAATGAGTGGGGGAGGGTCAGAGAGAGGGAGATAAGAATCTGAAGCAGCTCCAGGCTCCGAGCTGTCAGCACAGAGCCCGACTCGGGGCTGGGACCCACAAACCGTGAGATCATGACCTGAGTCAAAATCAGAGGTGCCCAGGTGCCCCTGATCATCTCACTTCTTATCAGTTTCCTGGAACCAAAGTGTTGCTTTTGGGGGGGCCGAGATGGACTTTCCTGGTGTCCTCTGCCCCCATGGATTGAGGCCTCGCAGGGAACTGTCCCTCATGGTCACTGAGCACAGGTCCAGGCCCCATGCCCGCCCCTCTGCCTGGGCCATGGGGTTGGCACTCGCAGCCTTGGCCGCACTTCGTTTTCCATTCAGCTTGAGCGCCTGCAGGTGCAGATGCTGGGTGTGCCTGGGAGGTTTGGAGGGCTCCTCATGGGGCAGTGTGCCTCCCTGGCATCCCAGACACACAGAGAAGCTTCCTGGCGGGTCGGGCTCTGCCCCGTCCACAGTTTAAAGGAAGGTGGTGACACCTGGGGAGGGGCATGTGGGGTCCCCAGGCCCTCGTCCACCCACCCCGCCACCAGAGCGCCAGGCGCTGTGTGTGGCCTCTCTGGTCCAAGGCCAGGCCCAGCTGCACAGTTAGCGGGCCGTCACAGGTCAGGCTCAGTACTGGGGGTGGGGGGGCGAGCACGCCAGGGAAGACCCCCCCCCCAGTGTAGAGCGTCTGTCATTGGGTCCATGAGATTCTGCTCCTTGCTTGTTCTTCATGGTGAGTCCCAGCATCCACATCTCCATTTACACAAGAGGCCGTTCAGGCACAGATCGTAAGGGCGTGCTCGGGGAGGGTGCGTTCTGTCTACCCCGACCGCGGAGGCTGCCCCCCCCCCCCCCGCCAGTGTCCTCCTGGACGTCCCCCTGCTGGCGGAACCCAGCATGGCAGGCGGGGGGCCCACTCCAAGCCCCGTCCTCATCTGTAATTTAGGGAGCTGGGGTCACGCCTCCCCAGAGCCCCCCACTCCTCCATCCTGAGTTGTCTGTAGTTGGAGATCTGGGGGGCCCAGAGGCCCGTGGCTAGTGTGGGGGAGGAGCGCTCGTGTGAGAGGCAGGGGTCAGGGCTCGTCTTGGGGGCGGGTCTCCCGGGCTGCATGCATCACGCCCAGACTGGGGCTCTGTAAGGCTCTGGCTGCCCCCGGGGCCGGACTGTGACGTCCTGTCTGTTGTTTTAGGAGCAGAAGCGGTTGCTGGAGCTTGGCCTCACGGGCCCCGAGGGCCATGTGCTCAGCCGCCCTGAGGAGGTAGGAGTTTGCCCGCTGAGAGCCGTCCCAGCCCTGACCGCGCCCCACACAGCCACTTCACGGGAGCGGACCTGACCCTGTGGGCGGCCAGGGCTGTGACGCGCTGTCTTCCTCCGGCTGCTGTCCCCCCATAACCACTGGTGGCCCTAAGGCCTTTACCACAGGCCAGGAAGCGGTGAGGTCAGGCTCTGGGAACTGCGTGCCAGCCCGGCACTGAACCGCGGGCGGGGGTCCTCAGTCACTCACACTGCCCCCTCTGGGCCCGGGACCCGTGGATGATGGGAGCCGCCCATGCCCACACTGGTCAGCAGGCCCCAGGGCCCTGCCCAGTGAGCGCCCTGTCCCCAGGTGGAGGCCGAGGCCGTGTACCGCGCCATCACTGTTGCCAAGCAGGCCAACTGCCCCCTGTACGTCACCAAAGTGATGAGCAAGGGTGCGGCCGATGTGGTGGCCCAAGCCAAGCGCAGGGGTGAGTGCCGGGCCCTGGGCCCCAGACACCGGTGGGGGATCTCTTGGGGATTGGGGGTCACGTTCTCAGGGCAGAGGGCCCAGCTGACTACACTGAGGCTCAGTGCAGGCCCGACAGAGACGCAGCGGCTGCCCTGCCTGGCTTCTTGGTGGTGGGTCTCGGTGGGTGGGGGGCTCCAGGGTGTGTCCTGTGGGAGACACAGGCGCCCAGTCCCCGTACGGGGGGGCCCTGTCTCCTGTCTCATCCAGGTAGCAGCTGCTCACCAGGGGCGGTGAAGCAAGGGGCCTGTTGGCTCTGTTTGCACAGAAGTGATAGAACTGTGCGTGTGCGTCATGTATGCACATGTGTGCCCTCTGCATGTGGATATGTGTGTACGTGTGTGGTGTGTGTGCACACAGTGTATATGTGGTGTGCATGTGTGCAGCATTGCGTGTGGCGTGCACGTGTGGCATGTGGCATATGTGTGTGAGGGGCAGCTGATCCCATGCCTGATGGGACCTCGCCCCCCTGCCCTGCACTGGGTGCCTCTGGGAGCTGGGGGCATGCGCTGCGGGCCTGGGTGGCCTCTGCCTGTAGATGCCCCGCAGCTGGAGGAGGAGGTGGGGACACAGACGAACCGGGGTCCTCGGGGACAGGCCTCAGGTGGCCAGGGGCTGGCGGCTGTGCCCGTGTTTCCTGCCCTCGGCCCGGCTGATTCCCAGCAGGCAGTATGAGGGGGAGGGTGTGGAGGGGACCCCCGCGTGGGAAGGCCCAGGCACCCTGGAAGCCATCCAGGGTCCGGAAATTGAGTGGGGACAGCAGCACAGCACGAAGGGTCCTGCCCTGCCTTGCCTGGTCCTGGGGGGGCCCGCGGGCTGTGGGGTGCCTCTCACGGGCCTCCCTGCAGGGGTGGTCGTGTTTGGGGAGCCCATCACCGCCAGCCTGGGCACCGATGGCTCGCACTACTGGAGCAAGAGCTGGGCGAAGGCCGCGGCCTTTGTCACTTCACCCCCCATCAACCCGGACCCCACCACCGCAGACCACCTCACCTCCCTGATGTCCAGGTAAGGGGCTGCTCTGGGTGCCCCACCATGACCTCAGCCCGCAAGCAGCCCTGGGCTTCTGCACGGACCCTGGGCGGGGCCTCTCGTGCAGAGTCCCCACACTGATCCGTCCTGCCCTCTGGCCCCCACACTGAGGCCCCCGCCGTGCTGCTCTCGGACAGCATCCAGCCCCCGTGGGCTGTGCCGGCCGGGAAGGGTCCAAGCCAGCTGGCCTGGGCCGGCTCAGGGAAATCAGGCCACCAGGGGCTCCTCTGACCCCCCCTTTTCTCAGCGGGGACCTTCAGGTGACTGGCAGTGCCCACTGCACCTTCACCACTGCCCAGAAGGCCGTCGGCAAGGACAACTTCACGCTCATCCCCGAGGGCACCAACGGCATCGAGGAGCGGATGTCCGTGGTCTGGGAGAAGTGCGTGGTGAGTGCAGGCTGGGGCCGAGGTCCCTGGAATAGAGGTCAGGGCGTGTCGCGGCCCCAGCCCTGCCACTCAGGGCTCCCCATTCAGTTCCGGGCCCCCTCAGGGAGACTCCCACTGCTCTGGGGTGGCCGGGTCGCCTGCAGAATGCATCTGGGGGAGCCAGTCACTGCTCCTGGTGGAATTATACTCAGTCTCCCCCAGATGCCTGAGATTTCCCCAGACGGCCTGCACCCCCACACTCCAGCCCTCAGCTCCTCCCCCGTCCGAGGCCCGGACTCCAGGCCCCTCTTGCCACCCTATGTCCTGAGGCCTCCTGGTCACCCCGGGGGACTGTCATGTCCTTCAGGGGACATAGACGTCACCAAGACTTCACCACGGATTGACTCCCAGAGTGAGTGCAGCGCTCGTGCCGGGGCCTGACGGCGGGGCCCTCTGACGCCCTGGGAGCGCCGTTCTGATGCCGCTCGCTGCCTGGGGACAGGGGCCGCCATCTGTCCGCACAAAGGCCGCCAGACCAGACCCCTGAGAGCTGTTCGGACGAGCCCCCTCCCGCCTCACCTTGGCCTTCTTATTTCCCAGGCCTCAGGGAAGATGGATGAGAATGAGTTTGTCGCTGTGACCAGTACAAATGCAGCCAAAATCTTCAACATCTACCCGAGGAAGGGGCGTGTGGCTGTGGGTTCCGACGCTGACCTGGTTATTTGGAACCCCAAGGCCACAAAAATCATCTCTGCCAAGAGCCACAACCTGGTAAGAGAAGCCGGGTCCCTAGGACATGGTCAGGGTCAGGGCTGGGAGAGCCCCAGGCACATGCACCACGCACCTGCTCGCCCGGCGGGAGACTCAACCCCATTACAGGCTCATCCGCACCCCCTTCCTCCCGGGACCATGGCAGCAGGGTGTGGCCGGCTCCGCCTGCGTCCCGGCCCGGCCCGAGGTGACTGCTTCTCCTCAGAGGCCCTTGAACGGGGGCCCTGGGGCTGCGAGGAGGCCGGGCAGCCCGCAGGGCATTGAGGCCGGCCCTCTACCCTGTCTCCCCAGAATGTGGAGTACAACATTTTTGAAGGCCTCGAGTGCCGAGGAGCCCCCACAGTGGTCGTAAGCCAGGGCCGGGTCGTGATGGAGGACGGGCACCTGTCCGTCACCCCTGGGGCCGGCCGCTTCATCCCTCGGAAGACGTTTCCCGACTTCGTCTACAAGAGGATAAAGGCACGCAACCGAGTAAGGCCCGGGCGGGGCGGGGCGGGGCGGGGCGGGGGCTCCTCGGACCCCATCCGCTTCCGGGAGGAGGCGGTTCCTCCTGGTCAGCCTGGCCTGGCAGCCCCAGGTGGGATCAGGGGCTGCTTGGGGAGTTGGTTCATAGTAGTGGCTTTATGTAGTTTTGTTTATTTTTTTTTAATGTTTATTTATTTATTTGGGGGGAGGGGCAGAGAGAGAGGGAGACACAGACTCTGAAGCAGCTCCAGGCTCTGAGCTGGCAGCACAGAGCCCGACATGAGGCTCAAACTCATGAACCACGAGGTCGTGATCTGAGCCTAAACCAAGAGTCAGATGCTTAACCGGCCGTGGCCCCCGGAGCCCGTCCATGCAAACTTGTATTATGCAAGTGGCCCCACAGAAGCCAGTCATGGCCACCTCCCCAGGTGAACCACATTGGCCGCAGTGCACTGTGGGCCCTCCCCGTGCACGGACGCGCCTTTGCAAGCAGGGGCACATCAACTTCACAGCAGCTTTTATGAAGCGGCAAGTCGTGAGTGCTTGCCCACATCTTTCCCTTCCTTCCTGAAGCCTTGGCCGAGCTGGCCCGTGTCTGACGGACGCACCGGAAGTCTGTCTGACTGGCCCGCACAGCACGTGTAGCTGGCTTGTGCACACACATGCACACACACACATGTGCACGTACACACAAAATTACTATACACACAGGTTTGCTTTATCCATCTTTCTAGAAGGACGTTGTCTGAACTCGGAGCAAGGAAGGCCAGCTTCCAGGGGGCTGGGGGCCGAGGCCACGGTCTCCTCTGGGGGGAAGGAGAGTGGAGTCTGCTCTAACTCGCCAAGACGCTGCTGTCTCAGGCCGTGAGGGCCACGCGGCTGCTCCCCAGGCGGGGCCTTGAGGATGCAGCCCAGCCGGTCCGGGCGCAGAGCCCAGGCCGGGGGTCCAGAGGGGCGGGGGTCCGCTCGTGGGCTCCTGCTGCAGACCCTGCCCCACATGCCGCCAAGGCAGGGAGAGGTGGCTCCTGGTCCTTCACCCTGAGTGCCAGAGACGGGGTGTGGGCTCGGACCCAACCCCTCAGGACTCACAGCCCCACACTTGCCCCTGCACCCCATGGTGACCCCCCGGGACCGGCTACAGTCATGAGTCTGAGCGTGAACCTAGGGGAGGCCTAGCAGGAGCCACGAGCACATGGGGGGTTTTGCTTCAGTCCAGGGACTGTTTGTCCATCGTGGGGGCCACTGGGAAATGTCTCTGGCTTTGGGCCGTTTTCAGGGAGGACAGGACCCGGGGCTTCCTAGGGGCCGGAGTGGGGGCTCTGCTGGGGCCACGAACAAAGGCTACTGAGGAGGCAGAGGCTCCTGGCATCCCCTTCCCCAAAGAGGCCACGTCCTCAGGGCTGCCCTTGTTTGAGTGTGTCCTCTGCCTCGGGAGGAGGGGCCATGTGCACAGGTGTGAGCAGGGAGAGATGTGCACACAGTGTGTAAGGGGAGCGGGGAGGGTTGCGTTCCAGCACGCAGGTGGTCGCGGGAGGAACCTCTCCCTTGGCTGGGAGCCCTGGGGTCCCAGAGCCCGTGGAGGGGGGGCCCGTGGAGCAGAGCAGGCGCGGCCCCCCTCACGCCCACCCCCCAACCCCGCAGCTGGCGGAGATCCACGGTGTGCCCCGAGGCCTGTACGATGGGCCTGTCCACGAGGTGATGGTGCCTGCCAAGCCGGGGGGCGGCGCCCAGGCGCGTGCGTCCTGCCCAGGGAAGATCTCGGTGCCACCAGTGCGCAACCTGCACCAGTCGGGTTTCAGCCTGTCCGGTGAGTGGAGCTGGGGTGGGGGCTCCCCTGGAGCATCCCAAGGGTCAGAAAGCCCCCCCAGGGAGGGGGATCAGTGCCCGGCCTGTGCCAGGTGAGCTCAGCAAGGCTGCAGACCACCCACAACCGTCGCAGATGGGGAGTGTGCAGTGGGGGGCGGGACATGTTTCCCCACCCTACAGGGGCCAGTGGGGAGGCCCCTCCTGCCCCAGCGTCTGCCCCAGTGTGGCCTCTTGAATCAGTCACGCTGTGGAGAGGGCTGTCACTGAGCCCGGGGTGAGCATGTGCTGCCTGTGTGGGGTGCCGAGTGGGGTCCAGGGGTCTAGCCTGTGAGCTGCATGGGAGGCGCATGAGGAAGGGCTGTGAGACCACTGTGCACGCGGCCTCGGCCTCTGGTCAGGGTCTGGGCCACGCTGTGACCGATCCCTGCAGACGCACTGGGCCGGGTCCTCACTCCTCCCACCCCCGGTGTCCCCGCCTGTCGTCCTCTCGCGGCGACAGAGTCCTGCGGGCCGCCTGGGCACACAGGGCCTGTGCAGATCCCCTTGGAAGGCCAGGGTCGTCGTAAAAGCCAGGGGCGAGACCCACAGGCCTGGCCGCCGCCCGCAACTTCCTGCGCACCTGCAGCCTCCGCGCGGGAGCGTCTGCCGGTCGGCGCATCCCTGCCAGGCCGCCCGCGGTGTGGGTGCGCGGGTCTCCGCAGCCCCGGCCCCGGTTACGGCTGCGGCCGGGCGCCACGCCCCTGCCCTCAAGCGCGCCCGTCCCACAGGCTCGCAGGCGGACGACCACATCGCGCGGCGCCCGGCTCAGAAGATCATGGCGCCCCCTGGTGGGCGTTCCAACATCACCTCGCTGTCCTAGGTGTCCCGGTGGGACCCCAAGTCCCGCCGGCCCGCCCCCGGGGCAGTGGCTGCGGGGCCCACCTCACGTCGCTCTTCCTTTGTCAGGCTTACCCGAAAGGTGCCTGGCCTCGCCTTCCCCACCCCCTCCCCAAGAAACTACCCTTTTGGGGTCCCAGGTCCTGGACGAGGAGCCGGGCGAAGGAAAGGCCTGAATCTGGGGGGCTTCACTGCCAGATCGAGGAGGCTGGGCGTGGTGGCGGGGTCAGCCCAGGTGGCCCCGAAAGGCAGCTGGGCGCTTCACCAGGCAGGGCCGCAGCCCCCCAGGGCCACAGGGACCTCCAGGCCCCGCAGACGTGCGAACGGCCGGCCCGGCCGCCGTTAGAATCTCGGCCCCGCGGCGCCCCAGGCCCCTCCCTGCTGTTGGGGGTGCGGCCTGCCCCCTCCCCAGCCGCCTTGGCATGGGGGCAGCGCCCTGCGACCTAAGCCTCCTGCCTCAGAGCTGCTGCGACTTCAGGGATCCATCAGGAACTTCGCGAAGGGCGGCCTCGTTCGCACGTTGCCAAGGACCAAGTCTCCGCTCCTGTAGCAGCCCGAGTCCGGGAGTTGTGGGGTCCTCTAGCTGAGACGCCCTCCTTTTATGACCCAGTGTGCGTCCCGGTAGTTGATTAGCGCAGCACACGTGCGCCGAGGACAGCTGTAGCTAGCAACCTGCATGCCCCCCACAGCCCGGGCGGCCGCCTCTGCCCCGCGCTGATGGGAACGGGGTCTATTAAAGGCGTCTGGGTTAGAAGCTGCTGGTGTGTGGAGCCCCGACTTCTCTGCCCCCACCAGCGGTTCACACGCGGGGCGCTTGGGAACATTTGCACTGGCTGCACGGCCATCCACCTCTGGGGACAGCTCTGCTCGGCCTCGGGGCAGGGAAGGGGGCCCAGGAACCACGCCCGCACCCAGGCCTTCTGCTCAGACGCGGCCGGAGGGGGCTGGTGTGGCCCCCGGCCAGATGTGCAGAGCCAGAGGGTTGGGCTGGACGACCTCCACCCACATTTTGACCAGACCAAGAAGGTGGTGCAGCCCAGCCTGAGGCCTGTGTCCCCCCCCAGATGCACCCCGTGGGCCTTGCCCTTGCAAGACAGAGCAGCCCAGGGTTTGACCCAGAAGGGGCTGTGGGCCTGGCCTCACTGTCTTCACAGACATGGCGCCAGTTCTGTGCCCCAAGTGTGGAATGTCCGCACACGGGTGTGTTTGTCCTAAGAGCAGCGAGTTCACTGTCACGGGGAAGACCAGCTGGACTGGTCAGGGACAGTCCCTCACCCCCACACCTGTGCAGTGTCCCTTCCTGGTGGTGACCTGGGACTTTTCCAGATGTGCCCTCCGGGGGAGCACAGCCCCAGCCTCGAATCTGGGGTTCCTGTGGTGCTGCCTTGGTCCAGGGCAGCCCGTGGGAGAAGGTCCGAGCTGGTGGTCCTCAGATCTGTTTGGCCAGGGGCTTCGCTGGGGCCAATGTCCAGGCACAGGCGAGAGACAGGTCACACCCACATCCGTGCAGCCAGCACAGGAAACGGGTGTGCTAGCCCCTGGGGTCTCAAAGTGCACACTTAGATTCACAGATTTTTACAGAACCCTAACCTCTTCCCTGTTCCTGCCTCTGGCATCACCAAGTCTCCACCTAGCACTTTCTCTGGGTCCACCTAGCACTTTCTCTGGGTACTGGCACCACCCACAGGTGTCCTGCAGCTGCCACCTCCGGACCCTGGCTTCCCAGTGGTGACTCCTGTGTCCCCTGCGTGAGTCCACGGGGTTGTGCCTCTGACATGAGCTCCCCCGGCCTTCAGCGAGCAGGGAGCCGCCTCGGCCGGGCTCAGCCAGCTCTTCCTCACACAACCGCAGTTCTGGTTCCGGCAGCTCTGCACTGCCCCCAGACTCCTCTGCCCCCGACCCCACGGCAGGCCCCGCCTCCGCCCCGCCCCACCGGCAGGCTCCGCCCTGCCCCCCGCCCCCAGACCTCTGCAACTCCCGCAGGCATACAACACGCATGACACTGGACACCGAGCAGCTCTTAGGTCGTGATGCTCAGAGGTGACAACTGTACAGAAACACAGCAGAAGTTGCCGGAACAGTGTGTCCATAAAAACACTCCTCACCTTCTCGTACGAGACTCGGTGGCCCCGGGGAGCCAGCGCACGGACGTCCGGCAACTGGCCGCGGGGCCGGCGCCGAGGGCTTATGTACAGCTGAGGCCGGTGGCACTGGGGCCTCTGGGACGTGCCAGCGGTGGGCCGGGGGGGCAGCAGCGGAGGCCAGGGGCCTCCTGCCACCCCGGCAGGTAACTGAGCCGCCGGGGCGTCTCCCCCGCTCCTGGCGGCTGCCGTGTGCCACCGGGAGCCCGTGAGCAGGCTCACCGGCCTGTCCCCACGAATACCAGGCCAGGGAGCAGCGGGGCCACCAGGCCGGGCCTGCGCTGGGAGGCGCCGGGCTGCTTGGCGGCGAATGTCCACGCTGGGCCTCTGCCCGCCACCCCGTCCTGGTAGACCAGAGTCTGCAAAGCAGCTGGAGCTAACTGTCGGCGAGGCGGGTCGGGCAGATGGGGCCGCACATGGACAGGGCGGGGCGCGTCCCCTCCAGGTCCTCCGCAGCCTCCCCGGCCCCGGGCACCGGCGGGGGCTCGCTCACCGGGTCCTGGCTCTTCTTCAGCCTGGGCGGGGAGGCACAGGAGGGGTTTTCTGCAGCCTCTCCGGCAGCCCCGACGCCTCTGGCCGCCCCCCCGCCCCGACTTGGTCCCTCAGGGACACGCTGGAGAAGGGGCCCTCCAGGCACTGCAGGGAGCAGAGCACACACACGGGGCGGGCCAGGGGACAGCCCAGCCCGGCAGCACCCTGCCTGGCCGCCTCAGCCTCAGCCTCAGCAGTGGGGCCGGTGAGCCAGGGCTGAGAAGCACACCCAGTTTAAGGGCAAATCCTGCAGGCCAGCAATTTTGGAACAAAGCTTTTCAAAGAGCTTGACTGAGTGTTCAGGACGGTAGCCAGCGCCTTAGACCAGCACCCACACGTCATCCTGGTCACCGGAGTGCAGAGCTGCCGCCTCCAGGAAGCTCTCCATGCCGCACCTCACCACCCCTCTCCTGGGCCCGCAGCGCTGGGCTTCCTCCCTCCGCTGCAGCAGGTGCCTGTGGCCTGTCGTATCTTCCTGCTCACCACTGTGCCCTTTCTGTCCCATGGCCCGTGGCGCTCAGGAAAGTTTGTTGAGTGCGTGAGTGGGGGTGTCAGTCCATGTGACCGCAGGACTGCCCAGCCATCACCCGCAACGGGCAGTCCACCGCGTCTCTCCCCAGGAGACTGTTAGACCCCAGTTTAGAAGTGAAAGTTCCCAAGCACCCCTCCCTCCCCTACAAGCCTGAACAGGGAGAGGCCTCCCACCCTCTCTTCCTGGGAGGGTGGGGACAGGCTTCCCAGGCCTCCTGATGCCCCGTGACTCCTGGGGCTCAGGACCTGTGTGGCCCAGAGAGCCTCCACCTCCTCTCCGCCCCCTGCTGCTGCCCCCAGCACATGCACTCACTTTTCTCTGTTAAAAATCACAAAGTCTTGCTGGATCGCATCGAGGCAGTCCTGAAGGTAGTCATTCTCCTGTTAGTCAGAAAGACACACCAGTGAGTGTAGTGGATGCTGTCGGACTCCCACCCCTCCCCTCAGATGGGTTCCTGAGCTTCCCTCTCAGCCGGTCTCTCCTGCGTGGGCCCGCACCTGGGGCTTTAGTGGAGACACGATCTGGGCTGCTGGAGAAACTGCCCTCAGGCCTGAACATCTCCTGGGTGGTCCTTGGGTGACCAAAGGGTGCCCGGTGTGGACGCCCAGCCGCTGCCTCAGGGCAGACGCTGACATGAAGACGTCAGCAGGACAAACGTGGCCGGGCTCCCTCCCCTCCCTGTGTCAAAGCCAAGGTCCTGGGAGACAGAGCTGGCGCCTGAACCCCGGGAGGGCCTGGGTGCGCACATGCGGCCACGATGGCCCCTGCCAGCCGCCCCACTAGAGGACAGCGACCCCTCCCCCAGGCTCCCGCAGGTGGTGCAGAGCGGCTCCCCCTCCCCTCAGCAGCAGGGCCCACGTGGCACCTGCCGAGGCCAGAAGGGCAGTGCCTGGTGCAGGAGAGGCTGGGCGGCGGGTGTGGGGCGCGCGGGGGACAGTGTGGGTGTGGGGCGGCCTCCCGCGGCCTGGTGCTGATCCCCGGCAGGAACCCTGGAGGGCGCCCAACGCGCAGCAGGACGGCTCCCAGAAATTTGGAAGGAATGGCGGCCCGCTGAAGATTCCAGAACAGCCCGGCCCAGGACGAGTGCTGCCTCAAGAGAGGCAGAGCCGGGAAGGGGGGCACACTCAGCATCGGAGAACCAAGCTCCCGCACAGCACCCTGCGCTCCTGGAGGGCCCAGAGGACGCTCCTTTCAGCGAGGCGCCGAGGGCGGGGCTGGCGAGGGGGCAGGGCACCGTGGGACAGCTCAGTGCCGCCTGGTCTCTACAGGAGACGCTGCTCCGGGGCTGAGCCCCCCGCGCCCATGGTGACCGTGGGACGCCAAACAGCACAAGCCCGGACCTGACTTATCCAGACCCAGCCACGTGGGAGTCAGCCCTGCAACAGGCAGCAAGGTGCAGCCGCAGCAGATCACCCCGCGCCCGGGTCTAGTGGTGGCCAACAGACGCCAGTGCTCCCGGGGTCAGAGACACGGACAGCCAGCCCATGCTCACACACACACACATGCACATGTGCACACATCTCCACACACACTACACATGCACGCTCACATGCACATGTGCACACATCTCCACACAAGCACATGCATGCTCACACGTGCACACACATCTCCACGCACATACACATGCATGCTCACACATGTACATATGCACACACATGCTCACACGCACGCGCTCATATGCTCACACATGCACACTCACATGCTCGCACACTGCACAGCGCACACACATCACAGCATGCTCATATGTGTGCACGCCTACTCACATGTATGCACACACATGTACACTTTCACACACGTGCACAATGCTCACACAATGCACATGTGCTCACACCCATGCACACCCACACATGCTCAACACACGCACACAGTACACCCATGCTCACACACGCACATGCTCGTACACACACCCATGCACATCACACATATGCTCGTATGCACACCCATACACATGCTCACACACATATGCACACATACTCACATGCATGCACACATGCACAGTGAGATCAGGGGACAAAAGAAATCTATCATCAGCCGCCCTGATGGAAATTCACACAATTTCCCGAGTATACCTTTGGAAGTCTGTGGGATACAGGGTCTGAGCTAATGGTTGGCCACACCCACCGTGCTCCCGGGTGGGGGTCAAGTGTTCCCCCAATACCCCCATCCCCTTGCCCCATGCCAAGGGCATAATCGAAATCCACTCATTTGGTGCCCGGTACAGCCCTCGTAGCTGATCCTGGATCTGTGGGGTAAGAGCTGTCACCATGGACGAGGCCGAGACGCTCCTGAAACTGTACCCCTCCCAACAAGGCAGCCTAGATAGACATAAAAACAAACCCGTGCCAGCGTGGAACGGCAGTGACGAGTGCCATTGTCACGACTGTAAGTCTGTACCTTTACTCTCGAGCTCTTAGGGCACAAGGATGCTCCCCGTTACCTTCCCGCTCACTGTGCAAGCCTGGCACCCGGCTCAGGGCAGACGATGGGGACCATGGCACGCGTGGCCTAGGGCAGCTCCGAGCACAGCTGCGGGGCCCGGGGCAGCATATTCCCAGCTTAGATCACGCACTGCTCTGTGGGTGGCACGCGGCCACCGATCTGACAGGGCCACCCTTCCAGTGCCCCCACGGAAGGATGAGGCCAGCGTGCAGGCACCCAGGTGGATGACTATACTGCCAGGAAATGCCTATTTTGGGTTGATTAATGTTTGAAGGCCACGCCAAGCAGTTCAACGGGAAAAGAGCAGTGTCTTCAGCACGTGAATGAGTGGACAGCCACGTGCAAGAGTGACCTGGGCCTGACGCTACCCATAAAAGTTAACTTGAAATGGACCCCAGACCTAACTGAGAGCTAAAGTGATAAAACGCATAGAAACAAGCACAGAAGGAAATCTGATGAGTGTCTCAGGGTGGGTGGAGGAGTCTTAGCGATCAGGAGCCCTGTTCCGTCCTTCCCTGCAGAGCTCAGGGCCCTGCGCCCACCTCACCAAACAGCCCCAGGCTGGAAATGGGCGGGGCCACACCTGCAGTCCCACCTCTAAACACCAGGGGCCGCCACCAGCAGCCCTGAGTCGAGGCTCTCGAGTCCCCCCAGCCCGGGGCCCTGAAGTACACCCACCCCCTGCCTGACCCCTGTGCCGTGAGCAGTTGAGAAGCCGGCACCGGGGCCGGGGTCCTCTGCCGGCTCAGACTAGGCCAGGGGCAGGGCGGCCACGGCTGTGACTGCTGCCTTCCGCACCTGTACCCCAGCTGCTTCTGTGAGCGCCAGCCGTACCCGGGGCACACGCTCACACGCGTGCTCTCCCGGAGCGCCCCCACCCTCCCGGAAGAAGCTCTGTGACCTGGGACAGGTGAGGGGGGTCTGTAGGTTTCACTATGTGCCCCCAGAGTGATGTCCTAACCCCCAGCTCCTCAGAACGTGACACAGAGTCACATAAAGAGGGTCATCGGGGTTAGGGTGGGTTAGCGCAATGGGTGATGGGTGTCCCTGTAAAAGAAGACGCACACATGTGCCCCTGGGGGCGGAGGCGGGCACGACGCGGGTCCGGGAGCCTCGACCAGAAGCAGGAAGGAGTGCGAGGCACTTCGACCTGCTTAGGAGAGGAAGCGAGGGGCTCGGCTGGGGGGCGGGTTTCAGGGCGGTGACCCGGAGGGCGGGGGGGACCCCCACCAGCCCCCACTCACAGACTGAGAGCTGTCTCTGCTGCTGTCCCGGGACCTGTTCTTGGCCAGACGCTTCTTCTTCTTGTGCAGGGGCCTGGACTCCAGGATCATCTCCTCCAGCTCGAAGGTGGGGTCGCAGTGCAGGCGGCCTTTCTGTGGGGAGAGGGGAGCTGAGCCCCCGCCTGCGGTCCGGGCCCGCCCGCCTGCGGCCCCCACCCGCCGCCCACCAGGCTTACGTTGGGCACAAAGCCTGGCGCCACCTTCTTCTCACTGAGGTCCTGCCACAGCACGCCGGCCAGCGACGGGGCCGCCTGCATGTCCTGCAGGCTGGAGGCTCGGTGCTTGGGGTCCACAGTGAGGAGCTGGAATAGGGCCCACGTCGGATGGCGCCCACGCCCCGCGCAGCCCCAGTGCACGCAGCTCGCCGCCTGCCCCAGGCCGGGGCACCCCACTCAAAGGATCTCAAGGGTCAGGCAAGGAAAGGGGGCACTGGCTTCAGATCAGCGCAGTCTTGAGTAAGAGTCACCAGCAGGCGGCAGCCTCGGCCTGGCGAACAGCAGGAAGGGCCACAAGCCTGGAACTAACAAGACCCAGCCCCTGGGAGCCTCGGCGTGCCGTGTGTGGTCGGGTCACTGCGGCTGGGTGTCCCCTACATGCCATCTCTTTTCCCAGAGAGAAGGCGGCAAACCCTATCCGCGGCTTCCCCAAAGCGTGACGCCTGGTGCATGGATGGTCCCCACAGCCTGTTTGGGTCTCTGGGGCCACGGTCCACTGTGGGAGCTACTGGGCAGGGGTGGGCAGGGCCCCGTGGGGTGGGGGCTGGGTTTAGGGCCTCTCAGGAGCTGGGAGAGGCCTCTGGCTGCCTGCCTATCATTCCAGGGGCGAAGGTCTCCAGCAGCGGGGAGGACACGCCAGGGAGGGCCCCGTGGGCCAGGAGGTGGGCGCCGACTGGGCCTCGTGCGTCCAACACGCTCTCGCACACCCGGTCCTGACCCCAGAGCCACCTGTGTGCTTGTAAGTGCAGCTCTGAGTGGAGAGCGGGGGGCCAGCCGAGGGGCAGCCCCAGCCCTGCCTGGATCCCGGACGGAGGTGCCGTGATAGCGCCTGGCCTGGGTCCCTGCCAGACTGAGGTCCCCTGGGCTGCTGCAGCCACGTGCTCAGGCAGTGGGGGGTGTAAAGAGGGTCTGAGGTCTTCTCCGTGTGCTCCCGGGAGAGGAGCCCTGGCGGCTGGCAGCAGGCAGTGGCCGCCCATGCCTGGCGGAAGGTCGGGGTAGAGGAGGCCAGAGTACGGCATGGGCCTGGCTCCCAGCCTGCACGCCCCCTCCCCCAACACGTGTGACATGGAGGCCTGCACCTCAGTTTGGGCATCTATGAAATGGGGTGATAACCAGGTCGTGGGGATTATGTTGTTGCCGGGCACATGGCATTCAGCTCACAGCCGGTGCTCAGACCGGACCAGCTACCTCAAGATGACAGGGGCCCCGACCAGCTGTGAGCCTGGTGGGAGCGACACCAATGCGCACACTCAGGAACCCGAAACCTTCCTCAGACCGGGGTTGGGGGGGGCTCACCTTCCTCAGCAGGGCCACCATCTCCTTGGACCAGGTGGGCACGTACTGGACGCTCACCGTGCTGAACAGCTGCACCAGCGACTCCACAGCATTGCTGGAGTGGATGTCGTAGGGCCTCTGGTGGGGCGGGGGGAGGCGGTGCTGCAGCAGGGAACCCCGAACCCAGAGGTGCCCGATGCAGCCCTGCCCTGCAGCCCACACATAGCAGCCCCTCTGCCCCCAGGAAGATGCCGGGTCTGGGCCGCGGCTGCGTCGAGGCCAGGAAACTGGCCAGGAGAGGCCGCCCATCTGGTCAGGCAGGAAGTACATCACCCCCATGGACACCCGGGGCCTGGGTGCGTCAGCCCCGGAGGCCAGGAGGGGCTGCAGCATGGCTGAGGGTGCGGGGCCTCTGAGGCCCTCAAGGAGGGATCGGGAGGACCCCAGCCTCCCAGGCCCCAGGGCTAGAGGGTGAGAGCAGGGGCACCCCACGGGGAACCCCACAGGAAGGTCCCAGGGACGCAGCCCCACTGACAGCTCTCTCCCCTGCCCGGCCGTGCCAGCAGCCCCCAGGCGCCCACGGTGGCTTCCCTCCTGCACTGGCTCAGGCACCGCTTTCACTGAAAGTACGCATCCATAGCACAGGCGACTGTCCCTGAGCACCTGGGGGACAGCCTCATCCCTCCCCGGGCACTCAGGCCCGTCCCCTCCCTCAGGGGCACACAGCCAGCTCAAGTCCGGGGCCAGCCCTCGGCCCCAGGGGCTCTGTACCCATCCACGTAGCAGCTCGTAGGCCAGCACGCCCACCGACCACCAGTCCACCTCGAAGGAGTAGCCGCTCCCGCCGCTGACGAAGGACTGGAAGATCTCCGGAGCTTTCCAGGAAGGGAGAGGCAGCTGAGTATATGGGACCTCAGGTCCCCTCCCCCACTGACCACCTGGGGGCCCTCCCCCACCTGGCGCTGGTGGTGGGCCGACCCAGGATTGTATCCTAACTGTCACGTCGTCACCTGGAGTCCCGGCTGACCCCGGCCCTGCTGCCGTGTGCCTTCAGGGAAGTGACACAGCAGCCTGGCCAGGCGGGGCCGAGGGCAGTGGCCGCGGCTCACCCATGTACGGCTTGGTCCCCGCTAGTGCGGTGGCTCGCTCTCCATCCTTTATGATGGTGGCGATGTTGAAGTCCGTCAGGTGTGCATGCCCTGCGAGGAGAGAAGACAAAGCACGTGTCCGGAGGACCGAGGACCGGAGGCGCGTCCTGGGGGCAGGGCGCGCGCACGTCCCTCCCCACGCGGCATGGGCTCACCTTGCTCGTCCAGCAGGATGTTGTCAGGCTTGACGTCCCTGTCGAGGGAGCAGGAAGTGGGGGGATGGTCCAGAAGCCCTGTTCACGCCCCACAGTCCCTGGCAGGGCTGGGGGTTCCCTCGAGGGCCCCTCCCCACTCAAGGCAGAGGCCCCAAAGACCCGAGTGGGCCTTGGGGAGATGCCAGCTGGCAATTCTGAGCAAGCCAGCTGAAAGCCGCTGTTCTGGCTTCCGGTGAGTCGCCTCTCCCCCTGGCGAGGCCAGGCAGGCAGCGGGGAATGTACTGGACACAGGGGTGCCAGAGCCCCCAGGGGACGGAGGCAGGACCCCCTCCCCAGACTCCCAGGCTGGCCCTTCTCCCAGAGCCCCGGGGCTGCACAGAAGTGATGACCTGGGCCTCTGCCTTCCACCAAGTGGCCTCTGACCTCGCCCTGCTCAGTCAATGTTTGGTGCCTGAACCGTGACCAGGTAACAGAACCCCCAGGGCAGAAACACAGAGACCCCACGTACTTCACTTCATAATATGCCACACAGGCGTCTTTGTTTGGTTCCACAAATACAGCTTTATCTTCCTAATTTTATCTGCTTTCAGCCAATGTTACCATTAGCTTGAGTTCCCCAGGGGCATGGCAATGAGCACGTGGGCTCCTGCTAGGCGGGGGCAGGGACCGGCAGCCGAACACACCAGGCGAAGGGCACCCGATCCCTGCCAAGCTGGGGCTGCTGGCACAAGACCCACCCACAGGTGGGCATCAGGTGCACAGTCGTGGGGCTGGCCCAGGTGCTCCAGCTGGGGGCGGCTCTGGGCAGAGCAGGCAGGAGCCCGTGGGGGGGGGGGGAGCGGGCACCCCGCCCCATCGGGTAGGCACACACCTGTGGATAATGTGCTGACTGCGCAGGTAGTCGAGGGCCAGCGCCATCTCGCAGATGTACAGCCTCACCGTGTCCTCGGAGAACTGGACGTTCTGCTGCAGGTGGTAGCGCAGGTCCCCACCCAGGAGCAGGTCCACCACCATGAACATGTCCTCCTCGTCCTGGAAGGAGTACCTGTGGGCACGGGGGAGGGCCTGGCACACGCGTGGCTGGGGAGCCAGGGTCCCCGCTCCCGCCACACCAGATGACCTCCCCCCACCTCCCACGGGCTCTCTCCAGGGTGCCGACTCTGCCTCTGCTCAGGAGCCGTTCTGAGCCAGGGCCCTTGGGAAAGGAGTGGCCTGTCCTGATGGGAGGCAGCCCAGCTGGGGGCAGAGGCATCAGGGGTGACCAATGTACAGAAGAATACATCATCTTTGGCCATTTCCCTGTTGGTCCTCTTCTCTAAAAAGGGGATAAAAACTTCTACTTTGGAGGGTTGTTAAGGAATAGAGACCACAAGGCAAAATGCTCAGGCAGTGCTGGGCAAGGGGCCAGCTTCTAACAATGGGGGTGATGGTGGTGGTGGTGGTGGTGCTGCTGATGGTAAGGTAGTGATGATGATGATGATGACGACGATGGGGATGGTAACGATGGTGATGATGGTGATTATGATGATGATGGTGATGACTGGGACGGTGATGACAGTGACAGTGATGATGATGGTAAAGAAGGTGATAGTGGTGATGATGATGAAGATAATGGCAGTAACAGAACAACAGTTTAAGGACCTCCTTCCATTTCGTAATTTCTTTTGTGAGCTCTCAGAGGGACCTCTTATTGTTGAGCAACTGGCTGTAACTGTAACAAAGTTACAGGGGCGTTGGGTGGCTCAGTTGGCTAAGCGTTCAGCTGTTGGTTTTGGCTCAGGTCATGATCCCACAGTTTGTGAGTTCGAGCCCCACATCAGGCTCCCCATTGACAGTGCAAAGCCTGTTTAGATTCTCTCTCTCTTTCCCTCTCTCTCTGCCCCTTCCCTGCTCATGCCCTCTCTCTCTCTTAAAATAAATAAACTTAAAAAATGAAGAAAGTTACAAAGAATTGACTGTTCCATGTGATGTTCCTCTCTCTGCCCACCCTGTCCTCATCTCAGGGGCAGGTGGCCTGGGAGGGGATATGGGACCAGAGGGCTTGGAACGCCAGGCTCCAGGACAGGCGGGAGCCCTGGGGAGCCGTGGGCAAGAGCAGGCGGCCTCCCACGCCGGGAGCTGAGGCTCCGTCCTGCCGGCCCCGGGACAGTGGGGGGCGTCCCCGGCAGCCCGGCCTTGCGGCGGGAGCAGGGGAGGACCGCGAACCGTGATGACGGCTCACATCCCTCAGTCACCCTACGTGGAGTGCTCTGCCTGAGTACATGCATCTGTAGTTCTGCCCTGGGGTTCACCTCACCCCTGCTCCGCAGAGGGTGTCGTCTGCAGCAGGGAGGAGGAGTTTGACCCGGGAGCCCGTGCTCCTGGCCACTAGGCACACCGCCTCCCAGAGAGAGCCCCAGAGGGTGTGGGAGGGCAAGCTGAGGCCCCCCGGGTAGGAAACCCCGGGTCGTCCCTCTTGGCAAGCCCCAGGGCCAGTGTCGTGGCTGAGAGTCTACCACACACGGCAGCCCCTTCCTGTGAGGCTGCAAGCGGGCCCACCCCAGGGAGGTGGTTTCCACCGCAGGCCCTCCCTGGCCGGCACGGAGTCGGCAGGTGAGGGGTGCGGGACACCCCTGGCTTTAGCACCACCGCCCCAGGACGCTGAGAGCACAGTGCCCATGGAGCTCAGTGACACGCTGTGGCCCTCCGGCCCCTCTGCTTGCACGGACACTAGATGTTGAGGGAGGCCCGGGGCGCGTGCAGGGGTGAGGGGCTGGAGGAGGCCTGGGCAGCCCCGGCTCCACCGCCCTGGGCCCTGCTCAGCACCTCGCCCTCTTCCCACAACCCCCTGGGCAAGGCCACGCCCCTCACAGCACAGGCAGCTCCTTCCTCCCGTCTCACGGCCAGGCAGGACCACGGTTCCGAGCGGGAGAGCTGGCTGTGGGCTGCTGTCCACGGCACCCTGCCACCTGCCGTGGCCCCAGATACACAACCGAAGGGGGGCCTTCGGCTCTGTGTGTGCCACAGGCCCTAGCACCAGGGCACTTTCAACAACGCACCGTCCCACACTTCTGTCCCCGGATGGGCGGCCTCTCCCTCGTGTTCCGCTAACGGGCCCTCAGCTCCTAGTGGGGGCGGGGCCGGAGCTGGTTCTCACACGCTCCCCAGCCGAGGCACCTATGCCGCCGGGGCCCTCGGGCACGCCACCTGGTCTGTGAGCCCAGCAGGGAGCACCGACCCCAGGGTGGGAGGCCGTCAGGGAGGACTTGGGGAGGACCCCAGTGGGGAGGACTCTTGTGCAGCCCAACACTCATGTAGGAAAGAGGAAGGTGATCTCGCTGCAGGCTGCGGCTCCCTCCCTTCCAGGGGCTGGTCTTGGTGACCATTTTTTGAAGAAACTCAGGCTCCCAAAGCTCTCCCCCACTGGATTTAGTGCCAGGAACTCCATGGGCCACAGGCCTCCTTCGGGGAAAAGCCTGGACTTTCCGCACGTGGAGAGACCTGTGTCAACACGTGCGCCCTGCACACCTGGACAGAGCTGGCCCTGGGGAACCGGAAGGTGAGTGTGTGGGGGACGGGCTGTGGGCATTGGGGTGTCCCAGACACAAAGGAGGAGGGAGCAGCAGGGAGGGCGCCGGGGTGGCGGCGGGTGCAGCCTGGGCGCTGTGCCCACGAGGCGAGCTCACGCACCACAGGTTCACCAGGAAGACGTGCTCGATCTCCTGCATGATCTCCAGCTCCCGGAACACGTTGCGCACCTCGTCGCGCTCGATGCACTGCTGCTTGTTCATGTACTTCATGGCGTACATCTTCTCCGTGTCCCGCTTCTGCACGATGCACACCTGCGGGGCGGAGGGCGCTTCAGGCGGACGCCACCACCCCGCCTCCCACGCTGGCCACGGCAGATGTGACTCGGGAATGACCAGATGTCTTCGGTGGGGCAAGTTCCTGTGCAAGGTGCCTTCAGCAAGCAGGCAGGACCCAGCCACGAGCACGGTGCTGGAGCCAGGAACAGCACCCACCCCTGCCACCAGCAGGGACCCGGTGCCCTTCCCAGGGCTCCGAGCAGAAGCTGGCTTGGAAGGCTGCTGGGGACAGAAGAGGGGAGACCCCTCAGCCAAAGCCCCGCACCTGGGAGGGCCTGAGACATGAGAGCTGGTGTCCTCACCAACCCTGGGCCACCCCACTCCCCAGCACAGCAGGGACTCTCCTGCAATGGCAGGGTCCCTGCACAGCTCTTAAATGCTAATCTTGTCAGACACTGAGCTGTGCGGTCCATTTGCGATGCTGGCTGTGCTCCCACGTTGGGCAGAGGATGGGGGAGATGTCCCCGGTGCCTCAGCCAAAAGTAGGTGGCCTGGACCTGACCAGAGGTGTCAGCGAGCATCTGGGGCTTGGCCCAAACCCGCGGGATCCAACCCTTTTGGGTGAAGCCCATGTTCCCTCACCTGGGAACACATGCTAAGAAATGAAGTGTTTTTTGTTTTTTTCAGAAGATGTTCATCAGTTGAACAAACTCCTTATAACAGACTTTCAACAATCTGAGCGTCCAGCAACCTCATGGACACGGGCAAGTGAGCTCAACGGAATATCACGCAGCCACTGAAGCAACATCTATAAAGACTTTTAAGGCTGCCTGACGATGTTTACAAGGCCAACCAGAACCATAAGTCTATGCCACTTAATGCACGACACAGAGCTGACATGCCCGGCGAGGGCGGGAACTGGGACTGGGCACAGGGAAGCACCCTCCCTGCTCTGGCTTCTGCGCCATTACTGTGAGGGTGTCTGGGGACAGCGCTGCCCCACGGCGGGGAGGTGGCCGGTGGCCGCTGGCTTTGGGGGGTGGACTCAACAACTGAGCAGCCTGAGTGCTGAACTCCCATCATCCAGGTACCGGGCCCTCGTGAGGCACGGCAGCACTGAGCACACCTCCCTGCCAGCCCCAGACAGCAAGGCTTGAAGCATGGTGCCCACATGGTGCCCACACGATGCCTGCGTGACCAGAGTGACACCTGCGTGATGCCCGTGTGGTGCCCATGCGATGTGACTGTGCAGCTTCCACCTCAAACCCGCCCAGGGGCTGTGCAGGCCACCAAGACCCCCCGCAAAGCTCTGTCAACAGCGCCTCTGGCTGCTGACTCCCCAGAAAGCCTGCAGTCCAGGGCGGGGGTCCTGGCCTCAGACCTGCGTCGCTTCTGGCGTCCACAGACCCCCACCTGCTCTCGAGGCCACAAGAGTTAAGGCCCCCCCTTGCTGCTCTGCCCAGACTGGGGGGGCAGGCGTGCCGGAGCCCCGTCCCCGAGGGTGGGCAGAGTGAGCGGGGAAGGGAGGCCATGACAATGGCCTGCCCTGACCTTGCTGCCAGGCCTTCCCATGCAGGCAGAGGTTCAGAGCCGTCCCTGTCCTCCTTCTGTCCCCCAAAGGGAACAGCGGGGGTCACTTCTTGGACAGGAGCATAAACAGTCATAAAAACGTCCCCAAGGGGTGTGGGGACAGGCAGAGCTCCCCTGACGGGGAAGGGGGCAGTGACCACCGTGCCCGTCGGCTCCCCTGCGGGCACATCGCACGTTTGGGGGCCCCTGCGGAGCGGGACGAAGCAGGATGCCAGGCTGGGGCTGAGAAGGCCGCCAGATGCCCCAGCGAGAGGGCCATTCCTGCCCCCAAGCCCCCTGGTTCCACCCGTCGGCCTGGTCCTGGCCCCGCGGGCACACACAGCAGACAGACCCCGTCCAGGAGCCCGTTGGCTGCCCTCGTCCCTGGGCCCGTCCTCCTCTGGGGGCCGGCTGCTCCTCGCTGGCTGTCGGAGGCCCCCCCTCAGCTGACCCTCCATTTCCCCATCTGCCACATGTGAGCGTCACGCTGGCTCAAAGTCGGTAGGGTCTGTGTCAGGGCCAAGCCAGACCTCGCACTCACGCATCCACCGACCACAGCTTTGTCTCTGCCATGCTCAGCTGACCAATGGCCTCAAGGACACCCACTTCCTGGTCCCCACGCCCTGTGGTCTCCTGGGAGATCATCCCGGCCCACCAGCAGGGACCTCCCAAGCGGGAGGCAGTGGGAGATGTGAGCCGCAGGGTGTCTGGGCCGGGATGGAACCACAGGCCTGGCCACTTAAGTAGCAGACACTCATTTCTCACAGCTCTGGAGGCTGGATGTCCAAGACCAAGGTGCCGGAAGATTCCATTCTTGGCAAGGGCCTGCTTCCTGTGCTCACTGGGTCCTCACGCAGCCTGTCCTCTGTGGGCGCACGTAGAGAGTTCTGGTCTCCCTCCCCACCCCTCACAGGTGCTGGGCACTAATCCCGTCACCTGCCCGCAAGCCAAAGCCCCCACCGCCAAATACTATCACACTGGGGGGGACTTCAACATGGGAAGCTGGGGACACAGTTCAGTCCATGGCAGAAATGTAATGCCCAGAGGGAGGGGCCATCATGTGTGGTCATTTGTCACAGTGGCCTCAGGAAGCCAATGTCGCCACCCGCTGTCCTGGGTGTCATGAGGGACAGCGAAGGGTGGCCAGTGGCACTGGACCTCGCAGTCCACCTCCGCTGTGAAACACCCACTTTCCGAGCCATCGGGGCTGCTCTGGGCGCAGGCACAGGGTTCCGGGTCTTGCTGGACAGAGACTGGCCGAAAGCCAGGTCGAACCACGAGGTCTTTAAGCCCCTCCCATGGACAAAGCCATTAGCGTGAGAATCGTGCTCTTTCTTGCATCTTTCCTCTCATTTCAGCCAAATGGCCTGAAAGCCATCTGGAGGAGGGACAGCCCCGGCGTTCTCCCGGGCCAGCCGCCCTGGGCGTGGGGTGCGCACCCAGAACCTGCCAGCGTGGCCCGGACAGCAGGCTTACCGGCTCCCTGGAGTCTCCGTGAGCCAGGCCTCTGAAATGCAGACTGAAGGAGCCGAGAGACCCCAGCTCTAGGCAATTATGAAAATGCGCTTGATCAAGTGTGATCACAGCAATTAAAAGCTAAATCACCTGCTGCCTCCTCTGTTCTCCCAATGCTCTTCCTTTCAATTTCTGAGCCTGAGCAGAGCAGGGATGGCTGGAGTTCTCTCCCGAGGGCTGACAATCTGAGGGTGCCCAGGGTGGGCAGAGAAGCCCAGAGCTCCAGGAAGCCCTCCACCTCCGCCCGAGGAGGCACATTCAGCGGCTCTCGCCTGGCTGAGTCCCCGGAAGGCCTGGCCACCCTTGCACCCCAGGTCACACAGCTGCCAGGAAAGGGCCTGGGAGCCGTCTTAAGGGCAAATCTCGCCCCACCCCCACTCCCACTTTCGTGGCCCGTGGCTGGGAGACCTGCTGACACGAGTGCTACCAGTGTCGACCTGCCAATTACAACAGGCTTGTGATGCAGGTGTCAGCCGGAAACGCGGGAAAATTCTGCTGAAATACACAGACCGGACGCAGGTGCAGAACCCCTCGGGGAGGAGAGCGCTGACTTTAGGGCACATTCAACCCAAGGGGGAACCACGGCACCCACAGGAGGGTGACAGCTTGACGGTCAGGACTCCGAGAAATCCTGAGAGAAATCTGTCCCGCGTCAGGAGAACCCGCCGAGCACGCTGCCCGAGGATGGAGAGGGGGTGTCTCACAGCACGGGGTTTGCGGGTCCTCAACATCACCCGACCCTGCTCGGGCCAGCGGGATGCGAGCAGCCACGTGCGAGGCCACGCAGCCCAAAGGTGCACTGGTGCTACCTCGGGAGAGCCGGGCTGGGTGTGATTTTTTTTCCAGAACTTTCCATGTTTCCTAGATAATGTTTTAAGTTATGATTTTGAAAGCTAGTTGGGATTTTCAAAACGACAGTCAGTGCCATTTCAGCTCCAGACGCTCCTCTGCTGGCGCCGTTCTTCTGGGCGTGGGCAGGATGGAGAGCCTGTCTTTGCAGACACATTCATCTCGGGAGGCAGAGAAACCCCATGACTGTGGACGGGGGCTCAGGCCCACTTGTCTGTGCGCAGAAACAGAGGGAGAGAGGATTCCCAGCGCATGTCTGAAGGTGCTCTGGAAAGGCTCGCTGCTGCCCCGGGGCTGGGGAGACAGGCGGCCACGCAGTCCCTCCTGCCGTCTCCGAGGAGTTCAGTGCACAGGTGGTGCTGCTGGGGTGCAGCTGGCCGGGCTGGGACCCGGGCGGAGGGGGGGAGCGGATCCGGAGCCCAGCTGAGCAGTCTCTGCCCTCAGGGCCGCCAGCACCATAGCTCCAGGGCCCTTCCCAGCCTGAAGGAGGCAGGGCCAGCTGAGTCGGGACCCAAACTCCCTGAATTTTTGGACCCTGTGTTCTGGAAGGTTCAGAGCTTGACTAATTACAGCCCAAAACCTGAAGAGGGTGGAGGCAGAGCCTTGTCTCAGGGTTTGTGGGAAGCACGACAGAACAGGAAGGGCCTGGCATGGGCCCCACAGACAGCAATGGTCCTTCCTCAGCTCACCTCTCCGGATCTCCGTCCACACTGCCTGCTCCAGAGAGGAGGGAGGGTGTCTCCCAGTCATTTTCTAAATTCAGAGGAGCAGGAGAAAATCATAGTAAAACCTAGTTCTGTAGCTGGTTCTTTGAAAGAACAAAATTGACAAACCCCTAGCCAGTTTGATTTTAAAAAAAAATGGAAAGGACCCAAATAAATAAAATCAAGGATGAAAGAGGAGAGATCGCAACTAACACAGCAGAAATACAAACAATAAGAGAATTTTATGAGCAATTATATGCCAATAAAATGGGCAATCTGGACGAAATGGACAAATTCCTAGAAACATATAAACTACCAAAACTGAAACAGGAAGAAATAGAAAATTTGGACAGACCCATAATCAGTAAAGAAATCGAATTGGTAGTCAAAAATCTCCCA